ATAAAGTTAAGTTTAAATGTTTTATCTCTACTCAAATTTGATCCAACGTGATAATTTGTTTAGAGAAACAGATGAGTAAAGTAAAAATGCTTCTCGAAAAGTAGGAAAAGAAATTTTGTCAAGTTTCATTTGCAAAGTTGAAGGTTTATTGTCTTCTAATTTGAAGAGTAGTTATAGTTATTCATAAATGATGAAAAGTTTATCCTCCGATTAAAATTAGAATCATTTGGAAAATTTTAATTGGAGGAATAGTCGGTTGATAGTTAAGATAAATTATAATATTGTTATTTTTCGACCAACGTTGATGATAACAATATTATAAGTTTATTTATGAGTTTAAGGTTAAAGTTGAATTATGATATTGTTATTTTCCCACCAACGTTGATGATAACAATATTATAATTCTATGAGTTTTATGTTTAAAGTTTAAATCTCGATGAATTTTGCATCAAAGTGACCAATTTTTGAGAAAAGATAAAGATCAAGGAATGCTCTTAAACTAGAGAAATGTATTTTCATATTTCATTTGCAATGAAGTTGATTGTCTTCTAATTAAATTGAACCAACGGGAGAATTTAATTTTGAGGAGTAGTTCTATGCTTTTAAGATTATTAATTTTTCTATCGTTAATTCCATTTCGCCAACGGTGATGTGGAATTAATGTAGAAGAATGATGTTTTATTCTATTTACTTTAACGGTGATATAGAATAGAACATAAAGTTTTCAAAGTTTAAAGAGCATTATTGTTGAATATTTTTCAGACAAAAGACCTCCATGCTTTCATTCTTGAAGGTAGTAAGAGAAATGAGCTGGGTACTTGTGACTCAGATGATGAAATGCCCAAGGGCAAGCTATGTATGAAAGAATGCCATTGGTAAAGGGACTGTGTTCTCTTTAAAAATAGCTTCAAAAGAAAAGAATTCTAGGATATTGATCCAAGAAAAGAGATAGATCAATGAGAGTCTTCATTGAGAAATGTCTTTTATGTACTCTCTGTGGAGAAGAATTTATTTTCAGTTTCACTTATGAGAGTTGTAAAAGTCATATACATGTTTAATTTGACTAACATTGGATTAAACATGTGTGTTAAAAGAATATTCGGATTTATTTCTGAATTTGATGATTGAACATGAGCCAATCCTGGCAATTATGTCCGTTCAAAGGAATATCTCGCATGGCGGGAAAAAGTTTATGATAGTACCCGCATGGCGGGGTAAAGTTGGCATAGTACATATGTTAACCAATCCTACATGGCGGGAGAGTTTGGCATAGTACTTATCCCGCATGGCGGAAGAAGGATGTGATGACTCATGTGCTCTAAGTATATCCCGCACATGGAGAGAAGTTTGAGGTAGTTTTTATGCTATCCTAGTATTGACCGTACACTCTGATTGTGTCATGGTCATTAAGTACTCAATGAGTTTAAGAACAAAAGAAAGTTGCATGTGAGCCAAAAGATAAAAATGATATGCAAGCGTGACTTGCAGAAGTATTGAAAATAATAGACTATGTTGAGTTTTGAAATGTAATGAGGAAAATGTACTCCCATACGAATTTTGTTTGCATGCTGTAATCATGTGGATGAAGTAAGTAATCAAAGTTTCCTCATTCACAAGAGTTCTGAATGTTTCGAAATTGTGGTAGAAAAGTTCATACCACATTTCGAGGGGGAGAAATGTAAGATTAAGAAAGATACTTCCCCATACTTCAGATAAGCAATGCACACTATGCATTGAAGGTAAAAGTGATCTATAAAAGATGAATGTGGTCGTTAAGGGAGTAAGACGGTCATAATAAAGATACCCCTAAAGTAAAGAAATAGCTAAATTCCTAGACCTTTTATAGTTCCGATAGGAAGATAGCATAGTTAGCTAGTATTTATACTGGACGAGTTCAGAGTTATCAAGGCGGTGCTAAACGCGCCATATGAGTTTTTTAGTAGATTAAACCCAAAATAAGAAATTTGAAGATACACCATCTTTTCAGAAGATGGAGTAATCTGGGGGAGCATGGTATGTAGATACCTAAGGCTTGAATAGAAGTGGGATTACATATCCACTACAATGTTTTTTAGAGCAACAAATTGATTAATACATGTTGATGTTGTATGACATATACAACACGATGTTAGCTCTTAAAAAGATGAATAAGTAAACAAGGATCTTGTGATACATCTGGAGGTTATAGAACAATTGCCTTTTGGCAATGAAGAGTAACAATAGCCCCATATGAAAGAAGTGCCACGAGGCCCTAGAAGGTCTCAAAGAATAAGAAAATCGGATATTTCTAGTGACTAAGAAGAGATTCCTCATGGAGCCAAAACAAGAGGGCTATAATGGGTCTACATGACAAAGGTGACTCCAAAGGGAATATAGAAAGATACCCAAAGAGAATATGGAAAGCTATAAAGCGCCACTTGTGGTGAAATGTTTTACATAAAGAGAAGGAATAGATTATAATGAGCATGCAAGGATTCTTTTAGAATCATAATGGTATTAGTGGCACATTATGATTTACAGTTACATCAGAAGGATGTAAAGACACATTCCTCAACGGGGATTTGTATGGAAAAGTTTACATGGCATAACTCAAAAGGTTTTGTCGTGGAAGGAAAAGAACGTAAAGGGATGTTGCCTAAAGAAATCCATTTATGGATTAAAGTAAGCTTCAAGATAGTGGTTCTTGAAGTTTGACAGTACAATAAGAAAGTTTGGGTTTTAAAGAGAATGTAGAGGACAATTGTATTTATGCAAAGTTTAAACATGGGAAATTTATTTTCCTAATCCTCGCATGTGGGTAGCACCTTACTCGCTAGTAGTGGTGTTAATCTCTTTGTTGGAGAAGAAGCAGTTCTTGTCCTCAAGTTTCAATGAGAATGGTCTTGGTAAAGCATCATTCGTTCCAGGAATTGGAACTTACCGAGATAAAAGGAAAAAGGGGTATTAGAACTATCTCAAGTGTATACTTAGAGAAGATTCTAAAGAAATAAAGTATATATGTGAATAAACTCGCTTTGTTCCCATAGTCAAGGGTAATAGTTTTTTGAACTTTTCGGTGTTCCAAGAATAAATGTGAGATCGATCAAATGGACGTCCTATATGCTTCAGCTTGTTGGAAGCTTCTTGAATGCTTATAAGCAAGAACTTACCTTACACACGGTTTTATGTATCCCGGATGTTTTAAGGTAAGTCCAAATCGAGATATAGATCTTTGGAATGGAGTAGAGAATGTTTTGCAATTGTGCAAAGATTTATAGGCCTCATGGTAAGTAAGAAAGAATAAGTACTCTCAAATAGTTGTGGGTACAAATGTTATATTTTTGGCGAGATGTTTAGTGAAACCCACATAGTAGCTAACACTGCAGATTGGAGTTTTATCGTGGAAAAGCTCCAAAGAAAGCAGATTATGATGTCATCAAAGATGCATACCCATGGTATAGCTTGTTATGAGGCTTAAGGACGACGACGAAGTGGTTAAAAGAACTTACACCGGAATTGATAATGGTATGTAACAAACAATAACCATTTAAGTAGTTCGCTCCTATAACAACGGGTCAAGTGTCTTTGCCAAACACATTGACATTAAAGTTGTATGCGTTGTGAAGGAGAAAGTCCGGAATCATACTAAAAGTATTGAACATATAAGTAACAAGCAAGTGCTTGCGGATCCGCGTACAAAAGGCTTACCACCCAGTGTGTTTGGAGAACACACAGTCGACATGGGTTTATGGTATAGCCTATGATTTCCGGACAACAAAGGGCCCAAAGTTAAAGAATCTGTTTCAGAACAGAGATGTGTATTGTAGCTGTTAAGTCTATCGGCAATTGACCGTGACGATGAAGCATGCTCTATGCACTAATCTGTGATGGAACAAATAAAAGTGAAAACGATTAAAGTCAAAGTTTAAAGTTAAAGTATGAGTTGAGATCAAGGGGAGAATGTTGGTTTGATCTCCCAACCACAATGGGCCCAACGGCCACTTGGGCTTTGACCTCGGCATACGATCGGGGCGCCAGGTCCATCTATATGGTCAAGGGCCTCATTACATCACGCATTAAATAGAGGTGGGGTCGGCGGCTCTCGGTGACGAGGTTCGTCTCGAGCCAGACGCCCCCACCAAGAAACCCTACTCCGATCTAACATGAGGGCGCAGCCCAAGGTGACGGAAGCACGCCGCCGCCATCAGATCTGCGCCACCACGGTCTTTCATTGCATCGCTCTCTCTTCTTCGACTGTCGGCCGCTTAGCGCAGATCATCACCGGCGAACTAGCCAAGGGCGGGAGCTCCTCCAACCCTCCGACGGTTAGATGTTCCTACATTTCCCTTTCTCTCTCTCTGTCTCTTACTCCCTCTGAATCTCTAAATCACTAGTTATCCCAAATAGAAAAGAACTCACCCACTGGATCCACTACTAGATGATCCAAAGAAGATAACATAATCATGATCACAGCTTCAGATCGGTCCAGGAAAAGACCCCAGCCTGCCAAATCTACCAACAAGGTACAATGATCTCGTGAAAATTACCAACCTACTTTCATGGAAGATGCCTATGGCCATCGGTTGTGTGTACTTTTTGCTGAACATACCTTATTTTGTTGTTGTTGTACTACTCAATCCTGACAAGGAGTAGATTAGGCTACATGACATGGTGTTGTGATGCTTGGACTTTTAAACATATCATGGGTTGAAGTTTGTATTAGATGAGCTTACATTTTTTTTGCATAAAATTACCTTTTCACTATACAATGGTGTAGGCTTGTTAAAAAAACAGTTCTGATTTATTTCATACTTTTGAGACGTGGATTAGCGAGTATTAATTATTTTCCATTGTATATTTGCATGTTCTGAGTAGAAAAGTACATCACTAGGTTGCATGGCATTAACTCCCACCATGTGATCTAAGGTCCCTAAACTTTTAAAATTAAGATTTGGATCCCTAAACTAGTTAAGGGTGCCACTTGAGGTCTAGATCTCCCTATTTAGCATCAACCACCCAACATGCAGGGTGTGTGGTAGTGGTGATATTTCCTAAATTGTAGTAAGAATTTAGGGACTTAAATTACATCATGATGCATTTGCTCCTGTTGAACTAATATTGATGTTTCCTTCATACTTGATTTATCTCAGCCAAATGATGTGGTCCTTTGTGGGCGCTCTGTTATGTATCTACCACATGTTTTCCCATGGTCATCATGTGGAGGTTTGAATATTGCAACTCCCTTTCCAGTTTCCCCATTCTCACGTAATTGTTCTATTATGGGTAAACTGTGTAACTTTCTTTGGATACACCATTCATTTTGTTTGTCTACTTTCACAGATTTCAACACAAAAGGTGCTTTCAGCAAATCAAATGTAACCTACTATGGAAAAAATGCTATGGATGGTGAGTTAGACCCATCTATGTTAATACTGTAATGTTTTATTTTGTTTGTTGCATCTGACCTGGGCAAATCAGTTGATCTGTCTTCCTAAATGCCACATCCTGGTGTATATTTTCGTTTCTCAGGATTATCTGTTGATTCCAACTTCTACCAGACGCTCTGTAGTCTACCAGACCCTTTGGAGGTGAAAGCTTTCGAGCAGGTGTCTCTACTTTCCTTTTATTGTTCTCTGTTGTGATATAATCATTCCATCTTTCAGTTGAGGGACCCAAGTTTTCAACACCACATCCTTATTCAGTGCCTTACATATTTTTACTATCTCAAGCTACATTGAGTTGGGAAGTTGTAATGGTGTAATCATGGCATGTATTTGGCAACCTTACAAGGCAGAATCCTAATAAATAAATAAATAAAATACTTATGCCAATCTTCTATGTTGTACACCTAAGCACACTTGCTTTGTTACATGCACTATAGTACTATTCCCTATTTTTCCGTTACACTACTGTTTCACTTTTTTTTTTTAATTTCATCTGACTAGCTTGTTACAATCTGCAGACTTACCTTCCTCAGGTGTCCGACGAAAATGGCCAAGAAAGCACATCATGGATCATTGTCAGCTCTGAGACTGAATGTTTTTCCCTTACATCTCATTACATACTTATTCTTCAATATTCGATTTTCGACAGATAATTTACCACTGTCTTGTGCATCTTGTGCCTGTATCTATAGACTGCAGAGAAGACTTCTGTTTTTTTTTTAACAAAAGAGAAGGCTTGTGTAAATATGCACATGTCTCCCCACGTAGTCCTTTTTTAAGACAATATTATATCCATCACATCCACATGCATGTTCTCCCTCTTAGTCTTCTTAAGCCCATATGAGGTTCAAACTGTTCATACCTTAAGTATTTGATATTCCCGAAACTTTGTTTTCGGAGGGCAGGGCAGTTGGGGGATTAGTTTTAAACAGTTGCCAATTTTATGGTTTGTACAAAAAAAACAAATATTAACTTTTTATATGGATAAGAATAGGCTGTTCCATAGGTTAAGTTGGCAGTACTACCTATCAATCTGTTTAACTGTGTCAGACAATACAAACTGATCCTGATCAATAAAGGAAACTTGGTCACAGTAGCTGATGTATTAAATCAGGAATCCTGTACCATATAAGTGTCGTATAGTTAAGGCTTTATTGACCATATCATGACTTAACTTTGCACAGAGTGTATACAGCACAAAACTACACAATCAGTGAGTCTCATCCTTCTCGCTATATTTTTAAAAGGTTTGGTCCAAGGAAGATGGGTGCCTTGCATTTGAAAAAACACCCTTTGAAAAGAAACCAGGTCAGCCAGGAGCCCGAAAACGGTATGCTACTTTCTTAAGGCACTGAACTCACTTTCAGTCAATGGTATCCATTGATTATGTAATCAAAAGCTAGTGGTCTGGATTGTCTAGGATAGGTTACAATAGAAATTATAATAACAGAATTGCATGCATTATTAAATTATTCTAGAAGCTTAAACTTATTTCTCAGAAAGACCATGTCCAATCATATAGTTTAATTTTATGATTCTGCTAAAGTAAACGAAAATATAGAGATATTTTCCACAAAATCTAAGTCTGTAATGTTTAAATTTGAAAGCTCATTCATGTTTTTTTCCACTCCCTTTTTATTTACTTTGCTTCCATGACCAGCAGTAAAGGTGATACTGCATGCTTTGTTTCAGTGTAGGAAATCAGGGTCGAGACTAGGAAGCAAAGAGTTTAGGCAGTTTTGGAAATTGGCAGAACAAAGCCCTGTAAGTTTACATACATCTTACCACTATAATGCCAAGTTAATAATGAAATGAACAAATCTATCAGTTTCAGGCCCTCGATATTGAAAAATATTATTGTGCACTATTCCAAGAATCATGGTGCTTGCAGTCCATTTCTGTCTGTACATAGAAGTAATTGCAAGTCTTGGTGGCAGTCCCTGGTAGGACAGTGGCATAGTACTTTTGTTTTCTAAGTTTCACTATGTTAACCCTCTTTAAATTCGAGCTTCTTAACTAGTCTAAAGATATCGAATCAGTTTGGCATAGCCCTAATAAGTGATTAAAAGATTAAAGCTATAAATTAGTACTTGTTCCTTATTTTGAATTTCACACTTTCTTTGCGTTGTTTAATCTACCTATATAGGGCCATTCTCCCTTAGTTTTGAACATTAATTGTTCCCTTCCATCCGTACTCCTTTACCATTTTTGTCACAGAATTTTCTGACATTTAATTTATAACCACTCACATTTAGTTTTTATTGGAGCTGTAGAATGTTTTGACTGGTCCTGACTGTGTCCACATGCTATCAATTATGGAATACTGGAAACCACTTGCAGAAGATGTGGCATTTTGGCTTTCTTGCACCTTTTTATTTTTTTTATAGAATTAGAAAGTTACATGGTTATTTTGCACTTTGGCTATTCATCCTTTTGCTTCAAATGAAGTTTTAAATAGTCCCATAATTACAGTTGCCTATCTAAACATGCAGATGGATCCATTTACTGGAACTGAAGTAGTGTATCACCACAGGAGTGATTTGGTAAGTTTGAATCCCAGCTATACTAATTACTAGATTGCTGGTTGTCTAAATTTTGACTTGAAACTTGCGCCCCGACGCATGTTTACATTTTTTTTTTTGACTTGATGGGAAGGGAGGTTCTGATTAATTAAACATTTCTGTGCTTTCCTATAATGTTTGCTTCTCCTAAATGTGAAAGAAATTTGCTAACAAATTGCTGTGTTCATTTTCGGAACTTCCGGTGTGCAACCTCGACTTCCGCATCTGGCCATGGCGGATAGAAGCCTATGGAGACCACTGTAAGCTGTGCCATCACGTGCGTCTCTGCCTGGAAGGAGTTCCAGTCAACGCTTGGAACGAGAGCATTGCTAAGCGGGTGGTGGCGAGAGCGTGCGACATCGACTACGTGGAGCAGCAGTCGGTGGACCGGGAGGACACCAGGGTGCTATGCCTCTGGGCGTGGACCTACAATCCCTCCGATATCCCCAAGGTAACCTGGTTGACCATAACTGACAATACAATGCTTGTTCATGACGGCGCAGTCCCCCCTCATGGCCGACGCGAAAGGAGGAGTGACCACTGGGGGTCACGTCTGCTCCGGAGCCTCTCTCGTGCCCCGGAGCGGGCAAGAGAGAGGGAACGGTCAGAGTCACGACATGGCCGTCGCGACAGATCGACTGCTCCAGGGGAACGACGCAGACACGGGCACGACAACGATGGTGCCAGGAGCTGGACTCCGCCACGCAACACACGCGCAGATCGCCGGAACGAGGATGACGGCGTCCAGAGCGGGTCACCACCTCGCCGGCCGCGCTCAACTACTGGAGAGCACTGCATCAACGACGACATCAGCAGTAGGTCTCCATCAATTCGCAGGTAGCCATCACGCCGTTCGCGCCCTGCTCCTCGTGGGCGCACCAGGAGCGAATCTCCACCGCGCCACACACGCCCAGCTCGCGGCCACGACGATGAAGGCGCCCAGAATGAGTCTTCACCTGGCCGAGCGCGTTCAACTCTCGAAGCCCCGCCCCCAGCAACCTCCAACGGCGCTTCAAGCAAGGGGCTGACCCCGGCGCTGTGCTCGGAGAGGACAGCAGTAACATGGTCGTGGGGTCTCCAGGGACAACAAGCAGGACGGCGGCCACGACAGCACCCTCTGGTATGCCACATGTGACAGGGAACACCCAACTGCTCGTCTCGACACACAAGGAAGGCGCCAACACTACACCGCTGCCTGCTGCAGGTGAACATGACGTCCTGCCGCGAGACGGAACATTGCTGTCCGCCGGCCATGGCGTCCTGGAGCAGGGCGCAGCATCGCCGACCACCGTCCACGGCGTCCCGGCGCAGGGCACAGCAACACCGATCTCTGAGGGCGGGAGCGTTCTGCAAGTCCCACTCCCACTCATGGACACGCCCCCTGCTTTGCCGGCGACTCCAGCAACCTCCATCCGCGGCCGCACAAGGGAGCGTCAGTACGGGCGCCGCGACAGTGGCCGAAATCGCTCCCCGCCCAGAAGCTCGCCCAAGACGCCGACAAATGACGGCGACAGCTGCATCATCAGCCACAGGTGCAACACTCGCAGACCTGACGACGACAACAGTGGCTCCCCGCATCCACCAGCAGTAACATGTTCAACTGCAAGTTTTGACTGTCCTTCACCCCCCCATACTACACAGGTTGTCATCCCCAACCAGTGGCGACAGCAGGGACGAGGCTGCACAACGTTCTGCCACAACTGCGGCGTTCAGGCGATCTCCTCGCTCCCACCAGGCCGCGTCTGGTACCCGATTCAGAAGGTACCGCCCAAATTGCGTCTATGTCAGGCGTAATTGTCGCAGGCAGCGCACGGCGTCTCCACTGGCCCAACAGAACGCGGCGGCCAACTTCATCAGCACAGTCACACTGCAGACTGCAGTGCCGCTGCTCCAAGGGCCACCCCAGCGAACGAGGACAGTCAGACGCAGGAAGAAGCGGTCTTCCCAGGCTCCAGTTCAGCCCCCCTGCGCAAAAGTGTGCGCATTGCAACAGCATCTTGGCCGCGGGGCGATGCGCAAGCGAAGGCGCGCCAAGTTCTGATGAAAAAACTTGGCTTCATGGAGGAGGAGGACCGTTAGCTGGACGACGCGCTGCTGGGCTACTTCAAGCTGTTCAGCGGTCCACTTTTCAGGGACGGTGATCCAGGCATTGACTGCCCTTTGTGGCCTCGGCGACGACTCTGGGGCAGGCTGCTCCCAGGCTTAGGCTTCATAGTTCGGTGCAAGGGCTACATTATGTAACTCATGTCAAGCTCCAACCATTTGTATCTTCAGTTCAGTAGGTGTGTCGTCGTCTCCAGTTATGTATCGGCTGTGAAGGATGCAGTGGTGACGGCCAGGGGCCAAAAATCACCAAAGCGCTGTCCACTCCTTCAGGGTCACCATGTCATCTTCAGTTGTTATTCTACTATGTCTGCAACAAAGCTACTGCCATCAGCGCTGCTAGCTACCTGTTGTAAGCTTCGGTTTGGAAATACTACTGTGATCGGCTGCAGCCAGTTTACTCGCTTCAATGTGTCTGTTCTTCCCTTGCAGTTTCTGCACAGGCTGTTATTTGGGGTAAATCTTGTTTTCAATGACACAACGTAATTGCAACATCCTGTGCTGGAACGTGAGAGGCCTCAATGATGTGGTGAGGCAAGATACAGTGAGCTTGCTAGTTAGAGACACAGCCTCCACCATCGTGTGTTTGCAGGAGATGAAGATGCAAAATTTGGATCAAGGTGTTGTCAGACGTACTGTTGGGGCTAAGTTCGCCAACACTTTTGTGGTACTACCAGCCACTCAGACACGAGGCGGCATTCTTATTGCGGTCAATGAGGATTACTTCCAGCTCTCCGACCAACATTTATCTACACATGCAGTGACTGCAACCGTCACCATGAGGGCAGCTGGAACCAAATGGCAAATTACGGTTGTCTATGGCTCACAGGGAGACGCCGAGAAATTACAATTTCTACAGGAACTTGCAGCTATTCCTTGCCCGGCCCATGGGAGATGGCTCATCCTAGGAGATTTTAATCTCATCTACTAGGCAGAAGACAAAAACAACTCCAATCTAAACCGTCGCCTCATGGCCTCCTTCAAAGCGGTCATCGACGACCTGAACCTAAAAGAGATAGGCCTCAATGGACGTCATTTCACTTGGAGCAACGAGCAAGACAATCCGACATTAACAAGAATCGACAGATTATTTTGCACCCCCGATTGGGAATTAACCTTCCCGACATGCTTTCTCCACTCTTTGCCTTCTCTCATGTCCGATCACACCCCGCTACTCCTGCAGGGAGAACTTGAGCACTGCCACAACTGGACCTTCCGCTTCGAAAATTTTTGGGTCAAGATGGATGGTTTCAGGGACTTGGTGGAACAAGTCTAGAGTAAACCTATGCACTCTTCTTTACCCATCAAACGGTTGCACACAAAATTAGCACGAGTGGCCAAAGGCCTTAAGCGGTGGCGCAGGGAGAAGGTTGGGGGCACACAGTTGTAGCTGGTCATCGTCAAAGAGGTGCTGCTACAGCTTGAGGCAGCGCAGGAATTTAGGACACTCACATAGCAGGAACTCGACCTGCGCCGACGTCTAAAAATCAGAAGCACCGGCTTAGCTGCCATTGAAAAGTCAAGGATTAAACAGCGGGCTAGGCTCACATACATCCGCAGCGGAGATGTAAATACAAAATTCTTCCACGTTCGCGCCAGCACAAGATTGAGGAAGAATTATATCCATTGTCTGCACACAGATGGGAGGGTGGCGACTACACACAATGACAAAGAAAAAATCATCGCGGATTACTTTTCAGCACACCTAGGCTCACATACACCGAGGTCAGTGACGTTTAGCTGGTCGGCACTCGGTTATGTCCCAAGGGATTTATCGGCTCTTGAGGCCCCGTTCACGCAAGAAGAGATCAAAGAGACAATAAAAGTCGATGCCACCCGACAAGGCGTCGGGCCCAGATGGTTTCACGTGTGCCTTCTTCAAAGCCTGCTGGGACATCATCAAAGACGATGTTACTGTTGTGGTGAACAACATATACATGCTAAACTCCCAAGGCTTTGAGCTCCTAAATACGGCAAACATCATCCTACTCCCAAAGAATAGGGACGCCTTGCGAGTTACAGATTTTTGCTCAATCAGTCTCATTCATAGCATAGCAAAGATTTTTGCCAAGTTACTTGCAAACAAGTTGGCGCCGCTGCTGGACTCCTTAGTTTCGAAATGCCAAAGCGCATTCATCAAAAGGAGGAGCATCCACGACAACTTCCTATATGTTCAAAACACAGTACGGGCAATGCAAAAGATGAAGCTGCCCATGCTGTTCCTGAAACTTGACATACACAAGGCCTTCGATATGGTCAGCTGGAGCTACCTTCTGGAGGTATTGTAGGCCTTAGGGTTCGGACCACGCTGGCGCGAGTGGGTATCGATCCTTTTTCGCACGATGTCGTCGAGAGTGCTGCTAAATGGACAGCAGGGTCCAGCTTTCAGTCACAACAGAGGGGTTCGACAGGGCGACCCTCTATCGCCCATGTTGTTCATTCTCGCTATGGACCCGCTTCAACGCCTGCTAGACATGGCAACACAGCAAGGCGTCCTCTCTGCTCTTCCTCTATCTACGGCCAAGTGGAGGACCTCCATGTATGCTGACGATGCGGCTATCTTTATTAACCCGATCAAGTACGACTTGGACTCCATCACGACGATCCTCCAGGAATTTGGTAGGATCTCAGGCTTACATATAAATCTACAAAAGAGTTCCATCCACCCGATCAGATGCCAAGACATCGATCTAGACCATGTGTTAGCCTCCTTTGCAGGGGCAAGAGAATCCTTCCCGTGCCGCTACTTGGGACTACAGCTACATATGAGATCCCTGCAGAAGGTCCATGTGCAACCGCTCATTGAACGCATAGGGCAGAGGCTACCTGGTTGGAAAGGTAGAATGCTCAACAGAGCGGGCAGACTTACTTTGATCACCTCAGTGCTATCCTCAATGCCTACCTATCACCTCACCGTGTTCCCTCTGGTGGTATGGGCAAGAAAGCGAATTGACAATATCAGAAGATCATTCTTGTGGAAAGGTGATGTGAACGCCAACGGAGGGCATTGCTTGGTAAATTGGCTGACAGTCTGCATGCCAAAAGATTTGGGAGGGTTGTGGGTGCCAAACTTGGAAAAATTTGGAAGAGTCTTGCGCCTACGTTGGTTGTGGCAGGAGTGGGTTCATGACTCAAAACCTTGGGTAGGGACGACACTGCCGTGCAATGACCAGACCATTTGCTCTTCAACGCCTCAACAACGATAACAATTGGGAATGGTAAGAAGGCATGTTTTTAGCATCACAATTGGCTAGACGGTGAAGCTCCAAGATACCTAGCGCCCCATCTTTTCCAGCTAGTGAGCCGAAAGAACAGGACGGTTTGCTAGGAACTACAAAATGATAATTGGATCCGCTCCCTCAGGACGTGAATCACAACATCCGTTCAGATACAAGAATTCGTCGCCCTCTGGTTCAGGATTCAGGAAGTGCAGCTCATGCCCGATGTGCAAGACTCCATAGTGTGGAGATGGACGACTGATGGAAACTACTCCACACGTTCGGCATATAACATACAGTTCCAAGGTTCACACTGCAAGTTCCAAGCTGATCTCATTTGGAAAGCAAGGGCGGAAAATAAATGCAAGATACATGCCTGGTTACTAATGCATGACAAAATCCTCACAGCGGATAACTTGCAAAAGAGAGGGTGGCCACATCATGAGCATTGCGTCTTGTGCAATGGACCTTTGGAAACATGACTGCATCTATCTTTGCTATGCCCCTTCGCTAAAGCCGTCTAGAGCTAGGTGTTATCTTGGGAAAACTTTGATGTGCAACTGCCCCAACAAGATCTCCGGTGCCTGGCCACCTGGTGGGAGGAGGTGGCGAGCAAGGTGCCAAAGCAAGAACGCCGAACATTTAATGGAGTGCTCATTTATGTTTGTGTGGAACCTGTGGAAGGAAGGGAATAGGAGATTTTTTAAAAACGAGCACAAAACATCGGAATAGGTCGCCTACCTGGCCAATGATGGTACTGTTCAGAGACGTAGGGCCATGTGTAGTGCGGGCTAAATCAACAAGCGCATGAGCGGTGGCTTCTGTGTGTTGGCTCTATGGCCGGTGTTTGAGTTGGTCCTATGACCAGGTTTCTTGGCACCATTGGTGCCTGTACATAAAACTCTATTTCCTTCTTAATTGAGCGGCAGAGCTACTGCCTTTAGTTTTAAAAAAAATCGGGTTGCCTATTGTTTTTCTAGAAACGTTCATTCTAAGAATGTATGTCAAGGGCAGATTATAGTTCATGCCACATTATAGTAGTAGTGTCTGGCCAGCTGTTTGACCATTAAGCATCTGAAAGGGCTAAATTTGTTGCATGTTTTCTATTTTTAGGCAAAAAAAGGATTTCTTCATGTGTGTTCTGCAATGTCTACGGGACACTACAATGCCAAGAGGTGCGGTCCCAGCTGAAAATGGAACTGCAACAAGCAATGGAAGTTCTATAAGTGTGAAATCTTCTAAGAGAGCTGCTTAACACTTTGGGGTCTGGTGATGACGATCCTAATGATGAAGAATGCCGAAAATGTCTTGAAGGTTCAGATTCGGGACCGCTGGCGCAAAGAATTACAATAGGAAGAAGGGAACAATTGGATAATCTGAATCCTGCGGATGTCATTCTGATCCTTGACAGATCGTCGCCTATAGAAGAAAGATCCCAGATTCTCAGGGCAGGACAGGCTAGAAATTTTCAGT